TTAATGAATGGCTATTTCCCCTGACCCTTCATCTTCCAGTCCCTGTCCTACAGCAATGTTATCTTTTTTTCCCCTGAGGCACGGAACACTGTCAATCAAAGGAATCCATCATCAAGGGAGTCAAACCCTTGTACATACTATGCATTTATATTTTGCTCACATTTGTAAACATGTCTAGTGTGACTTTTGAACTTGGCTCAGAGATGTCATCTGTTATAAACATGCAAATGCTTTATTCATTTCCTTTGCTGGCATTGTGTCCATGTCCCCTGCAAAAATATAAGAAAGGACAACTCTAATAGCGTAGATGAGAGGGATAAAAGTCAGTGATGACGCTATCACATTTTACGTGTGTTCTTTCTGATCCTTGCAAAATAAAGAGACCCTTTGGGAACATCGGAACTTCAGGACCAATTAGTGGAAATGATGCTTCTTGTGTTTGGGCATTAAATACTAGGCAGGGTTCTCTTTAGGGCGGCTGATGCTGGCAGGGAAAGAGGTACCGACCTAATTACTCTTCCGCAAGAGTAAAAAATGCCTTTTGAATGCCTCTTTGGCAAATATGTCTCATTAAGGACAAAAACCAAACACAAACCCTCTAAGAAGCAGAAATTAAGGTGATAGGTAACTTGTGGCCAGGAGACTTTCTGTGCCACTGTGGGAAATTAAAACGAAGTTTGGAAGCACCAGGGGATGACTTGTTTTTGTTGAGCTTCTTTCCTGCAGCCTCAGTGTTATTATGGGACCAACTTTATTTTCTTCATCGTTTTGGCTCTATGTCAGACAATACTTTGCTCCTGTCTTCCATCAGTGAAGACAATGGTGATTGTCCCATTCGGTCTCAGCGGGGCTTCTTACTAAGGAAACCAAGGACTTCTCCACTGGAAATTCTAATCTAATAGAAAGTTAATTTGTATAGTGACTGAGCACAGAGATGAGAACAAACAGGAATGTGTTTAAAAGAATTTAAGGCCACAACATACCTAAGTGTATTTTTCTTTATTTTAGCCAGTTTATCCCTTATCAGGTTTTAGAAAGATCGGTAAATTTATGATGCTTGTAACGCTTACTCTTAGTCTGCAGACACTTGTGCTTATGGATTCTAGGTGTGCTTTGCTCTCTGTATGTATGTATTTTGTGGCATTGGGGGTTACACACTGAGCTTTGCACATGCTAGTCAAATGCTCTACCAAACTTATTTGTATTAGTAGCATTAACCTTTCCTGTCTATTTTCTCTAGCCCGTGACCTTCGTGAATATGTCATCCATTTCTGAATTCCTTGTTTTCAGTGGGTCCCAAAGCAGCTAAGAACAGTAAAGAGGATCGACTGCATTTCTCTTATTTGCTGCTTTAGCTGAAATAATTAAGATGAGATCAATGGCATTAGTGTTAACCATGACACTGTTCTAAGTGGTGGTTGCCAAGATTCTTGTTTCTGAGTGTACCTGCTTTCGTGAGTCTCTCCATCACCAGACTATGACTATGTTCATGCTGGTCAAGGTTACTATTCAGGGTAAAATTCTTCCCTTGCCTAGGATTATACCAACTAGTATTTGTTCAATATTTTGTTCAACAAAAAATTTTAAAAGTGTCTTTCCTAGACTAACAAAATACCAGCTTCCCCAGTTTCCCCAGGAACATTAAGAATTTGATAACCTCCCTAAAATTTAAATTTAAAGTGGCAGTGTGACACTTGTTCTATCTTTTCTAAGGTACTAGAAAATCAAATTTCTGTATTTTGGGAAGAATTATGAGGCTGAACTGTCCACTGTGTCTAGGAAGTGAAGTGTACTTATGCTCTCCAAGGAAATTAACAACAGGTAACAAGAGATCATTTGTGACCAGTGTCAGGTTTGATTATTCAGGAGAATAGTCAAGAATTACACATGGATCAACAGGTCTGCCGAAGTGAGAGTCATGGAGACCCAGGCCCATTTATCAGGCCCACAGAGCTGTCCCTGGACACAGCAATGACTCCAAAATGCAGATGTGTGCCGTCACCTGGAATGAACCCTCCGTCTGCAGTGCAGAGATTATTGTCTTCCATGTACAGGTTTCTGACCTAACAAGAAATCTATAACACATTTATCTGAATGTGTTCAGGTCTTCTTATCACAGTATGAAGAACATTGCACACCCAGTGTTGTTAGAAGTCATTCCTTCTAGAATCATTATTTCTATGTGAAGGAAATGGAAAGCAATGGAAAGGCTATTCACAACCAGGATCTACGAAGAAGGACCAGGAGGCCCCAAGGCTTCAAAACTTTATCATACCTTTAAAATGCATGCCTTTATGTATGAAATGTATGGCAGTGTCTCAAAGACTCGTACAGTTTACATAAGATCATCCAGTCAAAATAGACTTAGGAGATTTCTCTATATACTGTTTGCTGTAAATTAGCCAAGACAAATTCATATAAGTTACATTTCTTCCTGGTTGTGACTGAATTTAAATATATTTATTTAAATCATCTTTAAGAAAGAAAATTATGATTTTCAGGTATCTTTTGGACAGCTAATAATATGTGTTTCAAACCCTGCAAGGATTTTTTTTTTGAGGAGTGAGAGAACGAACCTGAATTTTTCTTCCAAGTTAAAATGAGCTCTGTCTTGACATTAGAGAGAAGCTTCTGAATAAAAGCCCTTGAGTGTTTGACATCATGTTCATTGTTGCATTTTCAGCAATTCTCTTCTAAGTGGCCTCAATTAGTAGTAGTGTTATATGTGACTGCATTTATATGATAGAAATGAGTCGATCCAGTTGGAAGTGTTTTGTAATATTAAGGATAGTGTATAAAAATCAATTGTACTGTTGTTAAGCTGTCCCTAATGGTATTAGCTTTGATTAAAACATCCTAGAGGGAGATCCAATTGTGTTAATTCAGACTGAAGTAATTGGCTCTTTTATGTTGTCTCCTTTTTATTATCAATTTACAGATCCAAAGGCCAGTAACTTTCTTTTGGTAATCTGTGTTCAACTATTTAAACCACGTGCGGGGGAGGAGGTGGTACATGGAACAGTTTCAGTAAATATGTCTTGTATCTGTATACTTTGTCATTAAGAGGACCTTGTTCATAAATTATATGGTAGAAAAGTACCTGGTCTGTGGCTTCCTGGATAAAGTGGGGAAACAAACAAACAAACAAAACACATGGAACATGAGAAATTAGCCAAAAGTCAGATTGTGGAGCAGCTCTGTCTTCTTGTCTGTTTTCATTTCTCAGTGGAACTGTAAGGTTCTAGTCATAACATTCAGAGCATAAGCAGGCGTGACGGACACCTGCAGTGAGAGCATCGTACTCAGGAGAGCATGAGTCTCTTCCCAGAACAACTTGTCTATTTATTTATTTTAAGCACAAGATTTCCCTGGAAGAGTGCTAGTGTGCCTCATGTGGTAGAGTGGTTCCTGACAGCAGCAGCACCTACCCCATGCAGTCATTTATAAAGCTCTTTTCCCTATGTTCTCCCTGGTAGCCATTCAAGGAAAGCAGGCATTGGTATGTCTACCTCCCCGGTGGGAAGCACTGACAAGGTTAAGTGGGAGTGTAACATAATCCTAGTTAAAAATGATGGATTTCAGATTGTCCAGCTCTGCCCAGAAACAGAGCCCACTGATACCTGTGCCCACTGAGTGAAATCAAAGAACTTAGAATTGGGCCAGTTAGATGTTCAGCAAGTCTGATGAGCTGAGCCCGAACCCAGGACCCGCATGGTTGTCCTCTGACTTCCTCAAGTGTGCTGCAGTGGCCTCTCACGTCATCACAATGAACAAATAAAATGAAATTAATTGTTTATAAAAGAAGAAAAAAAATGACTATAGAATCATGGTGTGAAAACTCATGTCTTGCCCAAGACTTTTAGAATTCAGAAAGAGGCAGTACGTTCCAAAATGGTGATAATTTGTCTTAAAGTAGACGATAAGCATTTAACTTTTAAAATGAAGTCAATTAATCATTTGTTCCATAAGGCTTGCAAAGAACTGGCAGGAAAATAATTGTAGTAAGGAGTACCGGAATCAAAAAACACCTTCAGTGACTATCCATAATGAAAGCATTTTATTTTCTTTCTTCATCCTTCACATTACCAGACATGACTACTTTTTAAATCAATAGGTATATGCTTGCCATATCGATGGAAGGAAATATCAAATTTTACTATAGCCCATTGTATAATCTATTTAGAGTGAATTGAAACAGCAGTGTGGTTACAATGGGGTGATCTCTTGTAATCTCTTTTGCTATTTTTTTCTCACTGTCAGGTGAAATTGGGTGAAGATGCCCCCAATTCCAGTGTGGTGCACGTGTCCAACCCTGAAGCAGGGAACAGGGATGGACCTGATGCCCTGGAGAAGACAGTGGATGGAGCCGAATGCCACCTCCTAGACTTTGCCAGTGCAGAGCGCCCACTGGTGGTCAACTTTGGTTCAGCTACTTGACCACCTTTCACTAGGCAACTGCCAGCCTTCTGCCAGCTGGTGGAAGAGTTCTCCTCAGTGGCTGACTTCCTGTTGGTCTACATTGATGAGGCTCATCCCTCAGACGGTTGGGCGGTGCCTGGGGACTCCTCTCTGCCTTTTGAGGTGAAGAAGCACCGGAATCAAGAGGACCGATGTGCAGCAGCCCATCAGCTCCTGGAGCGTTTCTCCTTGCCGCCCCAGTGTCAAGTTGTGGCTGACCAAATGGACAATAATGCGAATGTAGCTTATGGGGTAGCTTTTGAACGTGTGTGCATTGTGCAGAGACAGAAAATCGCATATTTAGGAGGAAAGGGTCCCTTCTGCTACAACCTTCACGAAGTCCGGAGTTGGTTGGAGAAGAATTTCAGCAAGAGATGAATTCTAGATTAGTTGGTTGAAGGTATGATTATAATAGTTTCTTATTTTTTAAAAAAATGTATGTAAAAGAAATTGAGAACTGAACTGAATCCACTATTTCAACTGAGTCTCATTGCCTCACCGAAAGACAGAAACTTATCTGTCAGAAGAATATAAACTTCTTAACATTGCAATACTTCCTGTACTACACAAATGGCATTGGGCTAAATAGCAGCCCTGTTATTTCCCTTCTGAGTCAAAAGCCCCGTGTGAACAGATCCAAATTGGAGAGAAAGAAACCCTGGTTCAGCGTGTGTTCATTCTTCCTTGAGAAAGCGGTGATTCTGCTTTTGCATGTTTTGGGACCAGAAGAAAGGAGCTCCTTGAATACTTACTGTTAGGGAAACTACTATCTATGTTAAAATTAAGTGTCTTGGCTTTAGCCATCATGGATAATGGCCAACTGGAAAATCCCCCAATACTTATTATAATGTGATCTTGAAGCCATGCCATGAAGTTAGGATCCTGGAGTTTAATGTGTTAGAACGTTCTGGCCATGCACTGTCCTGTGTTAGTTACAGCCCAGAATCTCCAAGTGTATTTGCAGATAAAGAATGATGCCTATCCTGGAGGCTTAAAGTGACATCTGAAATCTGGGAAATGAAGAAAGGAGTAGAAGAAAATGAACTTGATAAGCTAGGAAAGAGGAGGCAGAATGATTAGGAAATTTCATAGTGTTTCACCTGGAAGCTGTAGAAAGTGAGACTAATAGAGACATGTTCAAAGCCGGAAAAACAAAACATTCAGCTGAAATTAGTGTGGGGAAGAGACACATGAAAGCAAGTTTATTACATATTCATGGACTGAGAGAAAAAGGGATGGAAAAGAAAAAAAGTACTTGTACTGATGAAGGTTTTTAATGTCGAAGTAATTATTAAAATGTTTGATGGTAATGTATACATTTCAGTGGGCAAATCCCAGAATTTCTCTTAAAGGAAAAAAAAAAAACAACAACAGTGGATCTGTTGGTCTGTTCCTCACCAATTCCTATACTTATAACACGAGTCCACTTATTCTTAATCAATAACATTGCTTTCTTTGAATGCTGAACGCATAGTGGAGGAGGGCAAGCATCCTAGTCATTCATCCATGGCCCTGCTTTTATCCTAAAGTAGGTGAACTGTAGTGGTAATAGGTTTCTTTGGTTGCAGAATAAGAGAGAAAGAAAGTCACTTTGCGATGATTTCTCTCTAATTTTGAAGGCTTTGATATCACAGGAATTTGGTAAAATGAAATATCCACTGACATTTAAATTTGGAATGGGTCTTTAGCTGAGGTTAACCCATTAGTTGAAATCTAGTAATCCAATTGTGCATAATCATGAATATAACTATATATGTGTTTCTCTTTAAAACAAAAGCAATATAGTTTTACCCATGAGTAATACCTAAAGATCATAGCCTCCCAAAGAACAGACCAACTAATGTATCATAATTTTTTTCATCTGAAGACTATTAGAACACATTATATAGTTATATTTAAATGTACAACCAAGGGTTCTTGTATCTATTCCATTAATAATTGAATTATAAAAACTATATAGGAAAAAGTGTCACCTGGGTATGCATGAAGCAAGAATATTGTTTTTTAAAAATGGGAGCAAGCAATCACTTCTATTACTAGCCCATATGCTGCTTAGACATTTAAGAAACATTGTCATGTATTTTTGTGGCAACATTTAAGCTTCCCAGTGTTTTAAGTTCTGTGGAAGACACACCTACAAAGAAACAAAGCAAATTTCAAAACTGTGATGATATCTAACGAACTATTTTAAAATCATATGGAGAATAGATTATTTCAGATTCTTCAAGTGTTAAACCCCTACAATGAAGGTTTATCAGCAATTCCCTATTGCTTTCTATCTTTGAAATGGCGTTGAGATTTATGTGGTGCCCTGGAGAAGTGACATGAAAAACTGATTGCAGCACACCCACATTGCTGTGGGTGACGTCCCCTTTGTTGTTCAAGTATGATAATGGAACAGGATGTCAGAGAAGTGGGTCGGGGAAGGAGTTTTGGCTAATGTGATGCTGGTTGTCGGGGGAAAGAAAAGATGATGGCAAAATCACCCAGCTGTGCTACATGTTTAAAAAAAAAGTGACTGTGTGTGTACGCAGACAATTTGTCTCTTGAGGAAAGGCCAGTGGAGCAACTGGGGAAAAAAAAGATGATGGCAAAATCACCCAGCTGTGCTACGTGTTTAAAAAAAAATGGCTGTGTGTGTACGCAGACAATTTGTCTCTTGAGGAAAGGCCAGTGGAGCAACGAAGTAGAGAGGTTAGCACACTAAGGCTAGGCTGACTGTCAGGGAGAGAGACATGCTCAGTAGAATATGCAAGAGACACCGGAAGAAAAGCTGTTGAAGGGGCCATGAAGAAAGTGCACTGACCAAGCTCAGGAATCCTACACCGTACAGAGTGGCTTTCCCTTTCCAGAGTGTGATAAGCCTGTAATTACATAACCTATTTATCTCAATATAAGCTTCTATGAGTTCCTATGATGTGCCTTTTATAGTATTAACAAGAAGTCATTCATTGAGAGACAAGAAAATCTTTGCTTAGCTGATAGGTACTATTAGATGGTCAGTACCCACCCACCTAGCATGCCTTTTAAAATATATTCCTTTGAAGAGTTATAGTTGTAATTCTCAGATGGAAAAGTGACATGTAAAACTTGGAGTTTGTTTTCTCCCATAGGGTGTACTTACATGGAGCTGTCAGTTTAGATTTTTAAGCTGAATTGGCGTGTTTAATACTGAAATTGTTTCTAAGAAATTCTAGGCATTATTAGAGCATCTGGATTTACTCAAGCACTTAGTGTTTGAAAGACATCTTAGAATTACTCAAAACTCACTTAAGTTTATTGCCTAGAGGAAGTAGCATTCGCAATGACTTTCTTGAATGGACATGGATAAAATTCGTGCCCAGCAATGTCGAAGTACTTTATAGATATGCAAGTGGCCTCTGTGGAGGGGAAGCAGCCACTGTTTTTGCTCTGTGTAGCTGAAGTGGTAGTCATTTAACTAACTTGACTCTCTTGACTCATGTTTTAGATTTTTAGTCCTGTGTCTTTACCTCATTTATAGACTATGTCCTTGATTTTTGGTAATATCTATTTCTAAGTGATCTATTAATTTAGTTAAATTCTTCCAGTAACCAAGAGATGCTTAATCTCTGATCCTTTTGCCTGAGTGTATTTTACTATTTGGGTTCTTGAATAAAAAATTATAAGACATGGTAAAGTTATATGTTGGGACTGCCCTGCATGAAATAGTGGAGGGGCAGGTTAAAGATGACATTTGTGCCTTTCAGAGAATTCTCAGGTGGATACAAGCTGCCTTTGGTATGCCCTGTAGTTTCTGTCCACAAGAAGAGGGATTTGCTGATGTCCAGGGCTTTCCATTATGTAAATCATAAGCAGATCAGTGTGGACATTAGTTCTACCTGACCTCTGACTGATGGTTTGGAAAATAAGTTTAATTAGAATCTCTTGGCCATTGCAGAGGGGGAAAATAGGCTGATTTCTGTCCCACTGAAGGATTAACCAAACATTATATCAGCATTTCAGCTTTTCAGAACATGTCCAATGTTATCTCTCTGAGAAGTGTAAATTGACTGTGAGTCTTTTAAACTCTAAAATCTTTAAAAATTGCCAAAAATCAGAAATAAAGTATACTTAGCTATAGTCCAACTTCCATCTTTGCCTTAATCATAGACGCCAAACCCAGTCTCTATATGGACTTCCAGAATAGGAGCATAAGTACTAGTTGCTGCCTGATGATGACTTCATCTTGGTCCTGTCCTGAGTCCCTCTATGAAGAGAAGGGTCTGAGACCAGATGAGCTAGGAAGTTGATAGCTGGGAGGAATTAGACTTCAAGGCCTGGGCTTACAGATTTGGGAAGATTTGAATGGAAACTTCTTAGGCTTGGAGGAAGGCCTCTGACTGTCAATAGGTGACTTTAGGATAAGCAAAGAGTCAGGCCACTTCCTCACGCCCTGTATTCTAGATAACACGAGAAATGAGGTCTCCGACTTGACAGACTCAGCTCTGTTCCAAGGTGAGTCTGAACCAGCAGAAAGCAAACATGTACAGATATCCAAACAAAACTGTTCATGCAAGCCAGGACTCGCTGCCTGTCTTGGGCAGCAACACCAGGGCTCTAGGGAGTTTATTTAATATTTACCAAGACTTCGGAGACATAGCAGATGTTTAATGAAGTCACTATTTTGGCTCAAACTGCCCTCCCCCATCTGTCTGGAGAAAAAAAAAAAAAGCAAACAGGTAAACACAAAAATGAAAGAGACCCACAGAAGGGTATGGGAAATAAATAAAATTCTCTCAAGACTGCTCCAGACGATGCCATGTGGTTTTTGTGTGTGTGTCAGGAAGGGGAATGTGAAGACCTAAGTACCCAGTACTTTATAACCAAAGCAATGAAAAGATATTGGGTAGGGAATGTTGGCCAGTTTTCTTCAGTTTTGTATCACATTATCACCAGACTCACCAGCCCATGTAACCGGTCACCGGGAGGGGGAGACAGAGATGTGCAGAGCTTACTGGTGTGCGAATGATAATTACTGACGAAAGAGTCATCCACTCAGTCAGTGGTTGGATGAAGTCACATGAGTTCGCTTCTCCCCATCTCTGTCTCCTTAGCAAGGAGAATATTTGGGCCTTGATGCAAAGAGTGCTGGGTCAATGTGATGAGAATGTATGTATGTTCATCTCTGCTCCTCAGTTGCAGAAAAGAAAAGCTTTGGGGATTATCAGTAGAAAGAGTGTTATTATATTGGTGCTGAGTGGTATGTGTGCTTTTACAATTTGTTCTTGTATTTTAATAAACTTTGAATAAAAGAATAGAGTTATGCTGGTTCTGGTTGCTTACTTTTGAATTACTTTCTGAACCTTGCCTTGGGCTGGAATATATTCATGGTTGACAAGGGAAAGGGAATCCATCTTTCCAATATTCATTGTTTGGTATTTGTGGGCAAAGAAGCAAGAGATGCCAGATTATTTTTATCCTATGCTGTGTGCCAGAGTCTTCAAGGAAATCAAGACAAGCTAAAAGAAAACCTTCAGATGCTTTCCATATTTATGAACAAAGTACACACAGAATTCATGGAAAAGGGCCTGAATTTAGAGATTGTGGAGCAAATTTTTACTTTGTTTTATTTTTATTCTAACCTTTTCTAAGTGCAATAAACTTTCTAAGAAGTTGGTTAAAGCAACACATTCATACAGAGTCACTTTCACACATACATATTATTCATTACATGATCAGGAGTGCATTAACATGTAATGAACACATGTGTCGTGTACTATGAGAGGGTATGGTATGCCACCTATGGAGGCAGCACTTGCTAATAACAAGGAATACGTTTACGTGGTTTAATATGCACTTTTTCCCCCCAAACAATTTATTTAACCAAAGTTTTAGTTCTCCTGAGACTCTGAGCTTGCTCATGATATTTTTACCCATAATTTCAATAATTGTTGCAGTGTCTTATATAATACTCTGAATTTCAGTGGAAATTTTAAAAAATGATTACACCGATAAATATTGTTCAAGGCTACCTTTCTTCGTAGGGTCCCATGCTAGGTACATGAGGGGAGCATAGAAAGACAAAACTTTCTAAAGGGGCCTGTGGTAGATTTATCAAAGTTTTGCAAGGGACATATTCAAATAACAGAGTTACACACACACACACACACACACACACACACACACACATATTATTCATTACATGATCAGCAGTGCATTAACATGTAATGAACACATTTGAACACTTGTAGATCAGGTCTGTGGGGTGCCCAGCCCTAAGTGGCACATCTACAATGGAACCTCTGCATCTAAGGCTCACAGAACATAGCAGAACAGGGGGTAGAGGGAATACTAATGCATCTCTCAACTCTCACCAGAGAAGCTTCCTCATGTAACAGAGGGTA